GAACCTTAGCGATTTTTCGCATTCTATATTTCCATTGGTTCCATATATCATTCCTACTTCACATGGTTTGTTTGGCTATGGAGTCTTCTCACATAAGGTAAAGGTTATTTGCAAAGTTTATTTTTCTTCTTCACAAGCAAGCTCTTGTTTCTATGGGGTTACTTTTGGCTAATTGATTGGATGACGTTAAGAAGGTGGAATCTTGGTTGCTTGGGTATAAGTTGCTACCACTAACAATTGCATTGAGTTCAGTTCAGTTTTGTGTATGCAAGGTGTTTGTAAATTTGCCTAAGTGACCTCTTGTAAGTTATATTGGAATTGTGCTTTGGTTTGGATATTGGTTGCTCACATAATTTACAGAGGGAGTATTTTGGGATTGCATTGGTCCATTAGTGGTTGCGTGCCCTACTATCTTTGTGAATTTCAGAATTTCTATCAAGGTACAGGGATACATGCCACCCAAAAAGAAATCCAAAGTTACGGAGTCTTCATCTTCCATTGCTTTTGATCGGCGACATTTTATCAATTTTGTAGCAGAGGAACGATATAGAAAATTTGTAGTTCACTGGAATTGCATTTCCAAAAAAGGCTTTGACGACTTACTGCCCGAGAAAATACAGAGTTTAGGATGGGAAAAACTCACTCGGAAACCTACAGCTGCTGCCATATGCTAATGCTAAGGAACATGAGAATTTCAAAGTCTTTGTCCGAGATTTTTGGATAAAGTTTGATAGTACTTCAATTAACAAGTTCTACCATACTTGGGATATAACCGCAGATGGCTACTCCCGATTGCGTAATGAGGGGGTTGATCCCGATGTGTTACTTTGCACTCTCATTTGGTCAGGTACTGAATGGAAAAGATCGGCTAGTGATGTGACTCATTTCTCCGCCTCTAGTTTGAGACCCAATTGCAAAGCCTCGCACCACTTCATATCAGCAAATTTGCTCCCCAGTAGCAACATCAGCGAGGTCACAAAGGAATGGGCTTTACTAAATTTTGTTATTCAAAAGGGATATTCTATTGATGTCGGCAAGGCCATTCAGAACAGCATTCTTAGCATCCAAGCAAGGCTAGCTACAGGCAGTTTGGGACACCCTTCCCTAATCCATGACCTTTGTGTACACACGGGTGTGCCCATGCAAGAAAATGATGAAGTCTTACACCCAAAACCACCACTTATGCGAGAGCTTTGTGATCAGCTTAGGGACATCAGAACTTAGCTGGCTCTTCCCAGTCTTCTCATCTAGCCCTGCCACCTCAACCTCCACAGCCTACTAATACTATGGAAGACATCCTTCGGCTTCTTGAAGCCATGGATTTGCACATGACCCTATGGCAAGATGGCATGCAAGTACAAATGAATCATCTACAATCCGCCATCTATGACCAGTTTCAATATTAGAACGCATGCATAGTGGTCATGGCATCTGCACACCCCAAGCACCATTTCCCTCCACCTCCATAGTTTCTACCTCACTCACATCCTCCAGCTCCACCTGATGGTGATGAAGACAGTTGATGCCTTCGCTGTGGTATTTATCTTCCCCTTCTTTCATTTTCACATTGAGAGCAATGTGTCGTTTAAGTTTGGGGGAGTCATACTTTAACTTAGTTGTGTCGAGCATTTGTTTGTTGTTTTTGTTGTGTTGCATGCATTTTTCAATTATGTTTTGGGTTTTATAAAAAATAAAAAATAAAAACTTTACATTTTTTATTTTGCATGCTTGTGTGAGTTGGATGATATTGTTAGCAATGATGAATATATTTGTAATGTGAGTCGATTGTGAATTATCGATGAGTCAATTGCCTGAGTTAAGGTCTTGCTTACCCTTACAGATTATTGTGATATATATGCACGTGAATTGAGTATAACATCGAACAAAAGTGAGTTGATTCATAATAGGCTTTAACTTGAAGTAATGACCCTAGAAGCTGAATCCAAATAACCACTAGTATAAAAGAATTCACATCCCTTAACCTACCTTAGGATAATTTGGATGGGTGAACTCTTGTAGGGAAGCATGGACGTGGGTGTGGATTTCGTGTGTGCCAAATTCTGTGTGGATTGTCTGGGACCAATGGGATAAAAATTGAGTGAACACTCTAAGTTGAGGGCCAATTTTCGAAAATAGGTGTTTAATAAGGGGTATTGCACTAATCGTAGGAAAAAAAAGATTCCAATGAGGATAAGTTTAATAAGCTCATTGTAAAGCGTCTCTTCGTAGCCTTAATGACTCAAGTGATTAAGTTTGTAAAGCTTTAAAACCTGATGCCCTAAAGTCATCTGATTTGGGAGTCATCAGCCTAAAACTCGCTACAGGGGTCATTTAGGAAGCTTAAGGGAGAGACGACCGCACAAATGGTGGTTAAAGAATAAATACATATACATTAAATAAAAAAAATGGTGGTTTAAGCTTGATAAGTCTCGAACACCTGTTTTAGAGAAGTGTGTCTTTAACAAGGAGTTAGTAACTTGATTGATTCTTGGAGGTTGAAGCAATCAAAATTAGTAGAATCTGCACTTACCGATATGTTGAACTGCAATTAGTAAATTCCAATTGAATTTGAGAGGTGCAAGAGAATAGTATTGAGAATCAACTTTAGAATACACCTTCGGAAGAGAAAAGAAAATAAGTTTTTTTTTTTGTTTTTTTTTTTTTTTTTTTTTTTTTTTGGTAAAGACATCCACACATCCTTAGTAACTTTTTAGGGTCCACCTAGGAAGGTCGATGGGGGTTAAGGGTTCCCCAACCATATTTATTTCATAAAAATCAAGAATACACGGAAGGAGGGGGGCATGAACCTGACCTCCAAAAAGCAGTGATGCAACAAATGAATATAATAAATGAAAGCAATAAATGAGGAAGTACTACTTCCCTATACAATAAAGAATAGCCTAAACTACGAACCTCTGAAACTGGGCAATCCATGTCTGTCGATCCACACTATCGCCCTAATATGTCATGGCAGTTCTAGTGGTCCATACTCTAGATAGCGCCGATGATTCCAGCCTTCTGTAGCAAGAGAATCAGCAACCTGGTTGCCTTCTCTGTAGATGTGTGAAATCGTGTCTCTATCGAAGTAGATGAAGTCTCTGATCTGTCTAAGAATACCCTGGAAAAGAAAATAAGTTTAGGGTGTGTGAATCCCACGAGCAGAGAAAGGAGATAATTAACTTGCAAGGGAGGAAATTGAATCAACATGCAAATGTTTGGCGAATATTTGATTCTTCACACACACACGCACATGATCTTTAATGGGTAGGTAAGGAGTTGGCTTTTGCAATATAGCTTTGAAATAGTTCGTAAACTTAATCTCATATTCCAATGTTGAGTTATCCAACTAAATTATGTATCTGAATTCCTTGGCATCATATGTGTTTGTGTTTGATAATTGTCAATTATTATGTGTGTTTGCTCAATGACAAACAAAGAACTAAGTTTGGGGGTGTTTGATGAGTGTAATTCAATCATTAAACTAACACTTCTAAATCAAGTTTTTGGTTTGTTCTTGAGCACTCTTGAACGTTTTTATATGTGTGCTCGTGTTGTTTTGTAGTTTAGACAACTTTTGGGAAAACGCCACAATTTGGAGCTTGTAATGGATCTACAATTGATCATAGAAATGGAGCATGAACAAGAGAGAATGGAAGAAGATTGAAATGGAAAATAGGCTTGAAGAATGAGCAATTTAAGAGAAAGAGTGGTTTAGTAGGAGCCACGGCGTCGAAATTTGGCGACTCAGTGCCCAAGAAATTGAAGGTTCGGCAGCGATCTGGAAGCTACGACTCCAACTCCTGACACTATCCAGCACACGAAAGAAGAAGTAGAATTCCTGGCACCACAGCGCCCGGCCCGAACACAGGAGAATCCCATTTTTTATATTAAAACTCGGCCCAAATCGTTCCCTAACCATCCAAGACTCCTAGATAATATAAATACCAAGATGAAGACAGAATTGGGGGTTCATTTTTCTAAAAAATCTGTTGGATGGCTGGAGAGTGCAAAGTGAAGAATTATCAAGAGACAAAGAGGAGAAATTCAATTGCATCAAGATTGACGACCATTTTGGGGAAGAACACGCGACTTAAACTAGTTTTTCTTATCGCATTACCCTTTCCCATGTCTTTATTTTGTATTCTGGCATGTCAATTGATTCAAGTATGAACTAATTTCTTAGATCTAGGGTTGATGTAACCTATTTGAGACATGAATTGATTCAATTGTAGTTATTTCTTTTAGCTTTTCTAGAATTTATATATGTTGTTTCATGTTTAATGCTTTCAATTGCCTGATCACCAATTGAATGAACTGACACTTTAAATTTGATGCTCGAAAGAGGGAAATTTAGGCGGGATGTAGAACGACATAACCTAGATTCGTAGGTATCAAGAGAAAGTGCAAATCTTTGAGGGTGAAACGGGAACCAAGAGCTTAAAAATATTTATATGTTTAATTCGGAGTAGAGATATTGGGATTAAAGTATAGAGATAGGTTCTATTGGCGCTCGAGAGAGGGAATAGAATTAAATTAGGGTTCTTGCCTATAAATTGAGGAAAAAGTTTATGGAAATAGCTATAGAGGTTGAGAGACGTGCCAATAATACGGTGAAATCATTCCCTAGACAACCATAACTTGATTGATCTTTAGAAATTGCTTCATTTTACTTGTATTCTTTATTTCATTTACATTTGGTTAGTATAAAAACATCATTTTAAGTCTGAGTTGTCTAAATAAAGTATCAAAATAATTATAGTACTCAGTGGAACTCGAATATCAATCCTTGTGGGTTCGATACTTTTCAATTCTTTACTTTACTACAAAACTTGACACTGTACACTTGCGGTTAAATCACATTATATAAAATGCGTGGCAAAAGTAATAAGTAAGAGGAAAGAGAGTGTGCAAACAATGTAATTGTGGAGATTCGATCCCAACTAATAATCTACGTCCTCCATTATCAAACTCTCCATCACGAGCAAGATCTTTTTCACTAAATTTGATTAACATATAGTGCAATCCAAACCTTTATAATGCTTCCGGTGACTTACAAACAACGAGTATCAATCCTTATACAATATTAAACTTTTCGGGATCTTAATATTACCCAAAAATTAAAAGAGAAATAATTTTACAATTTGTGACTTCTATCTTTATAAATGATATAATTAAAATTAAGTGCAAAAAGAGAAATTTGTTAACACTTTAATAATTAACAATGAATGAAATTCGAGTGTTAGGTGGGAAAAATTTTAATGGGCAGACTAATTTTCAAAGGTTGATTCAATCAAAAAAAAATTAAGAGAATTAATAATGATAAATAAGATATAATGATCTAATTTAGCTCAAGAGTATCTCACTTAAAGTGCCCTCAAAAGTATGTAATGAATACAAAGTGAAGTGGTATTTATAGCAGTCAAAACGTCAAACTTTCCGACTAACCAGACAACTAATCTAGACGTCCACTTTCTAAACTGGGCAAACTAACTGTTTTGCATCAAAATTCAGATCCGGTTCAAAAAATGAATGTTGGACGAACTAGACGTCCGCTATACTCAATTGGACACCCGATTGGATAGATTTTGTTGGATTTTTCTTTCTTGATTGTTTTGAAAATGTAAGCTTTTGAAAGATGTTGTTCACTTTATTTTTCAAGGTAAGTGGTATTGCAAAAGATTTAAATATCAAGTTGAAATTCTTACTTTTTGAAAAATAATTTTTTTGTTAGCATTTTTATGAAGTAATTTTCTTGTGCATAAAAATTCATTCACTTGAGCTTTTTATTTATTCATTGCTTAAGATTAAAACATTTTACCACTACATATGAGTCTAAAGCATTTAAGTCTAAGATCTTCAATTTTTTATTGTTGAAGTTCTTTGTCTTCAAGTGTTTTGACATAAATGCTTGGCTTCCATCTCAATTTTGTTGATCGTCCATTTGGTAGTGATTTTTTTTGTCTTCAATTGATCAATTTTGCAACAATGACTATGAAGACTCGAATTTAATTGTTAGATATAACGCAATTTGTTTGTTATAGAAGTCAATCATAAGTTGACATTTAATTTAAGAAGATCGTTCAGTTTGGTTCAATTCGGGTTGAGCCCGGTTCTATTCAATTAGGTTCAAGAGTTTTGTTCAATCCTAATCGAAATACTTATATTGTGTGTTAATCTTATTATTCTTCTTCTATTCGATTTTACTATTCAACTTTGCACAACTGTGTTTATGGTTGGTAGGGAGATGTCAATAAGATACCAAAGATTCGAGGATGTGAGACGATCAAGTAAATGCCACCATTGATGGGCAAACTGAAGTTTAATACTGATGAAACCGTATATAATTGGTTGGTTCGGGGCTATGATTCAAGAGCATTGGAGATCATGATGAACCCAAAAAAAATAATAAATAAATAAATAAATTTGTCAATCTGTCAAGTCGAATTTAAATTGATATTTAAAAATTGTTGGTTTGGTTTCATGTTTTATTTTCAAACCGTCAAGAATTGTTCGATTAAGGTTCGATGGCTAAAAATTGTTTGAAGTCAAACTGAATCATTGCTCCAAATTTTTTATTTTTTTAATTTTTAAATACTTGGTTTATTCATGATATATTATATATTAGTTGAATTAACAATTGTATCTCTCACAAATAACAATGGGGCTTTGAGGGTGGACTGCTCCTTGCCCAGAAGTACAGGTATGTGGTGGCAATGGCTGTGCATGGTGCTAGACAACAAGATGTCAAGGTCGTTTATTATGCTTTAATAGCCCCTGCATGTGTCGTTTTAGAGGATATTGTTACTGTGTCGTCTGAAATTGGAGGTCGCACGTTTGCTTGTGGTGATATTGATTAATGGAACTTCTTGTTCATTAAAAAAAAAAAGAGAGAGTACAAGTCCCTTTGTATGCCTATATCAATGATCATGTCAGAGAAATATTTTCCAAATGAAATTAAATTGGTGTTTAAAAAAAAAAAAAAAAAAGGTTATTGTTGTCTGCACAACGCCACACGTGATTGAACATCAGTTAACAATACATCACCACCAAAATCTGAGCTTACTGGATATTGATTTAGTAAAAACAAGGAAAATTATCATTTCCTGCACAATGGAGCACTTCATTTTCCTTGAAGTTCATTCTGTCTATAATTGTTGCAAGTTGCAAAGGACCAAGTTTCTTCAAAGTTAAAACCTGGAAATATTAAAATTAGGCCCCTAACCATCACAATATCCAGCACCTGCAACCGGATGAATCTTGTGGTCCTTCAAACCATCTATCCCAGGTGGGATTTGTAGGGCCGTTCGTTCTGGGACATTAAAAAAAAAAAAAAACAAATTTGTTTAGCATGTAAAGTGGATTCGATCAGTAATGAATATAAAGAAAATAAAGCCGAAACTTTTGTTCTGTACTGCATGCCCAAGATGCCCTTTTAGGACACAGTTGATTTCTCAAAGGACTTGCGAAGCATATAAAATGTAAGCCAAGAAGTCTTACAGTGGGAGTAGTGGATCTGGCTTGGCTTCAACGTTCATCAGCATTCTGTAAAGAACACTAAATCCGTTTAATGAAATGTAAACAGCAGATAGTAGGCCACCTAAGTATCTTCTCTTACTTACTCCTTACAAGCAGCTGAGGCTTTCTCCATTTTATCAAGCTGTTCCAGCTCTTCCTGTAATAATTATAAATTCTTAATTATTTACAGTGTGCATTCTGCTAACTAGCAAGATTAAATATATTTATAAGCAACAAAAAAGAAGCTCCAAAAAATAGTGTCATGCGCCAAACGAGCCTTAACATTTAATCATCTCAATTCTATCTATTACATAACCATATGGAGACAGTATGCATGATCTTAAACTAGAAGAAACTTTCTAGTAAAGCATCAGCATATGAATTGTGAAAATAACCAACCATATTATTGGATTTACTCAAAGGCTAACTGATATAAGCTAAAAAGAAAGCTGTGCAAAACCTGGTCGACATTCCACATTTATGCAATAAACTTCACATTTCTCATATGACTTTCACATAACTATTGTTTATGGGTTTATGCTTATTATGTTTACAGGGGAAATCTTGCAAAACGTATGTGTAAGCACCACATTAAAAGATGGAATCATATGCTTTTTTTCTGAATTTACCCACATGCCAGCAGATGCAGAAAAACTAAGTAGTTTTGAGTGCTGAAGTCAATAATAATCATAAAATGTCTCAACAAAATTACCATACCATTCCAATCTAAATATGATGCTTACAGATCGAGCCCCACAAACTGAAGACAATAGTGCAACCCATTATTTCATCCATCACGGCTCTTCTTCAATTTATTTTATACATGTCTTACATACATTCTATGAGCATAAAATCCAAGATATATCTGCACAGTTATATATCATATCAAAAAGGCTACAGCATAGGTCCAAGAATTGAATAAGAAATTGACATACAGAAAATTCTAGTAATAAAAGCATATGTTTTACGTAATGGTAGACACAACATATCATCAATAAACTGCCATAGATAATCATCTACTTTTGCACATGACCAATAACTGCAAGCCCATGAGTCTGTTCCATACATACATAGAACTGGAAATGCAAACCAGTTCTTCCATTGTGGTGGTAATGATTGTAGACATCTGAAAGCCTATGAAGAAAATCTATCATGAATGAAATTTGATTATTTTCAAATGTATGATATCCTAGCAATAAAAAGTATTACTAGGGGGGCCAAAAAAAAAAAAGTCAGGCCATGTTATAGAGATGGCTACCCTATTATTGTAGGAAACTTGTGAGTCAGGTAGGGTATGCCAGAATATAAAGAAAACAGAGATATTTATAGGACAGTATGTTACAAATTTATATTTGAAGATAAGAGAGGTAAGTATACAGCCAATGCTGCCTTTTAAAGTCACCAGCAAACAGATAAAATTGCAGTTCATATTTATGTAAGAGCCATTCAACAGTGAACGTTCTAGCATGTGATATAAAATCTAAAGGCTAAAAGTATACAGAAAGGAAGGGAACTATCACTGACTTTCTAATTCTACTTGAAGCAGAAAAATATATCTCGCAATGTACAAGGAAGAAGGTGGTACACTGACATTCTGATTACTAGAGTTGTCTACCACATTCTGTTTACCAGAGTTGTCTGATTCAGAAAGAAAAGGGTAATTATTTTGCTCTGATCCATTGGTAGCAATAAAATATAGGGAAATTGCAGTAGAGATCCCTAACCAATGTGTTTTGTGCAAATGGGTCCTGAACCTTTAAATTTTGGCACTTACATCCTCCTTACAACTCTTTTTGCTAGGTTCTGAAAGTGCTTATTCCGACTTACCTTATTAGATTAGGGGCAATGAACTGTATTCAAGAGGATCAGACTTGAAAAGTTCAGGCTATGGACTCAGTCCCTATAGACAGATGTTTAAACTGACATTGAAATGGCATGTGAGTCTCACATGTTCACATTTTTTACGAATAAATGAGTAATTACATAATTTGAGTGAAAAAGAAGGGGAAAAAATGGAATTCAACAATAGCTGCCTCCAATACCCCTTACAATCCCACCACCACCATAAGAACCCCCTACTGTTTTGAAATCCACAACCATCCATCTAGCAGTTGAAATCTGTGCCAAAAGAAATGAAGTTCTTAAGATACTCAGCTCATTAATTCACAAACAAAATATACTGTGAAGTGTGTTCTAAATAAGTAACAAAACTTTTCAATCCACCAATTCAGTACTACAATTCAGGCAGCCAATTTCCAGAGTTTTTACTAAGGAACGTACTGAAGCGTCCCCTACCAACGTATCCTCAACCTGAAATAGTCAGCGACATTTGCGGAGATGGCATCCAAGACATTCATGACAGTTTGCATATTGCTGGGAATTGTTATTTTGTAGATTTGTTATGGTCTGGCATTATCATTTCATGACTCTTCTTTGGAGGCTACAAGTACAGAGTGGTGTCTCCCCTTCAAGTTTATGTTCATTTTAGTTGAAAGAAAAATGAGCATCTTCTGTTGCAGCCATTTGAAATGCACATCAGCCATAAGAAATCTAGAAAATGTTCTAGATATATCCATCCACCATTACGTCCATGGGCCCTAATGCCAAGGTTGAGGTATGGCACTGGCAATGTTAGATAATATGGCATGTTATATGGTTAAGGCTTGCAATTGAGGCGAACTAACAAGTTGAGGTAGCCATGGGCTGACTAATCACTGGGTGGTGGCTGCAGGTATAGGGTGGCTTCGTCGTTGTGGTGGTGTTGGTGAGGGTGGGGTGGGGTGGTTAGCAAAGATGATATCCCTTTCTTGCCATCTGAACCTCCTAATATCAGCAAGAGTAAAGAATGTCCAAGTCTTAACCTATACAGATAAACCAATCCCTTAGATCAACATTGGTTAATTGCAAGAGACTTCAACTTGCTGAACCCTCATGTAAATTAACATTATACAGATGAAGAAAAGTAACATGCGTTGTATTCAAAAACGACCTGGCATTTCGGGACCGAGCCGAGCCACTAGGCAATATAAGCGAATTGACAAGTGAATTAAGCCATTAAAATTGCCAAGCTCATCCAAAAGTAAGTGTCAAGCCCATGTCCCAATGAGCTCAAGCCATTAGAGATGCTCGAGCTCATGGGAGAAGGGATTGAGTTTAGGAGGCTACACTCATGATACTAATGACAAAGTGGGTTAAATACACAAGCAAGTGCAAGTCTAGCTGTCAAGTCCAAGATGTCCAGCTAAATTTTCATAGCTTTCCTTGCCAAATGGGAAAAGGATGCCCGGAAGCATGATCTGCACCGCAAAGCATACACGACAATCAAAAACTAGAGAATACCTAATGGTACTATTCTGATACACGAGTCCCAAAGAAGTGCGACAACAATTAGCATGATCCACAAAGCATACCTGAAGCATGACCCGCACCGCAAAGTATACACGCCAATCAAAAACTACAGAATACCTAACGGTACTGTTCTGATACACGAGTCCCAAAGAAGTTTGACAACAAGTCGTTCCAAATAACTAATTTTTTTACCAAAACATACAATCAAGAGTACATAACTATTCTCAAAACACAATTTGACGTGGCTATCAGTCAGTCTTCCATACCAGCACATTCCCCATTACCAGACAGCCCCCGCAGAGAAGGCCGAACGAGGTCTCCACTGCTTTGCATGAACAATTTCAAATCAAACTCTACCACTAACTCAAAATCTCAAGAAAAGCATTCTTTTGATTGTTTGTGCCTTACACCACGAGCAAAAAGAATTAAATGTTTACAGCATTAACACCTAAATAAAAAGATGAGCCAGAACACCAAAAGACCCACCTCGAGATTTCACCAAGAGCAGTCAAAATCAAGAAGCGCGTATAATCCAACAACAAAAAAATCAAATCCTGAAAACAAAGTCTAAAGCCAAAGAAAAATATAACAGAAATCAAACACGAACCTCCAAGAATCGAGTTTCTTGCTCAAGTCTCTTCAATTCAGCAGAAATCCTATGTTTCCCTCTCATATCTGTAGCTCCAGCTACCGATCGTACCTCCTCCGAACTCTCTGATTGCATTTTCCCCAAAAGATAGAAGCCCGAAAAAAAATTATGACAAATTTCTAAAGATTAAAAGCCCATTTCGATTGAAGTGAAAAAGAGTTGAAAATTTATGAACTAGTGTTGTCTGTTTACAATCAGAAGACGTGTTAATGAAAGACGAGAAAAAAGGGTCTTCGGATTTTATTGGAGGAAGGAGAAAGGTATCAGAAAGGAGGGAGCTTTCGCCTTTTTTCTGGGGCTGGGTCTTCTTTGTTTGGGAATGAAATAATGAAAGGAAAGTTGGTGGTATTTTTCCACTAAGGTGTCGGCCTCATTTTGGTGGCTTTTTTGTCTTACTACTGTTGTTTCCTTTCGAATGGGTTCCGATGAAAGAGAAATAAACACAGAAACTTTCTCTACGGACATTTTTCAGATTTGGGGGGGTGTGAACGCCACCCTCATTCGCCAATTTTATTCTTCTTATTATACATTAAATTGAGCCCTGCTCCCTGTCCCCAACCCGGGACAGGGTCAAGGACAGGGGCACCACATGGCGTCCCCTATTGGCCGGCGCCTCTCCAATAAGGGGGCACCACTGTCTTTTTCCCTATCCTCAACCCGAGACAGGAAGAGTTATTCCATTAAATTTTAGAGTGTGTTTGATTGATATGAAAAATATCACCTAAAAAAGAAAATGTTTTCCATCTTTTGTGGAAAATAAAAATCACATCTATCCAAGGAAAATGTTTTCCTTAAAAACAAGGAAAATTAGGTATATTTTCAAAAGTTGAAAAATATTTTCCATGGAAAAAATAGCAATCAAGCATTCCAAGTAAGAATTTGGGTGGAAAATATCAATTTTCCATGGAAAATAAATATAATCAAACACACCCTTATTGTGAGTGTAAAGAGCAGTCTTATCATTTATATGCTTTGGCTAAAATTATTCTAATACTTCGTTTTGGCACATTATCCTATCTGATTAATTCTTATTTGGTCTCCATTAAAATTATAATTTATTTTTCTCTTTTTTTCTTATCGATCATGTCTTCTATAATAAAATAATATTAATGTAACTCCAAAATTTTTTTTAACTATTCATCCTTCAAAATACCATTCCAATTATTAAAATTTCAAATAATGAAAAGCAATTTCATCTATTTTCTCCGTTAAAGTCTCATAAAATAACGAATTTATCATTCTATTTAAATCAACAATTTTAAAAAATTAATTACAATCATAGTTCAAAATTTTTCAAAAAGTGAAAATGAGTCCTAAATAAAATAATTAAAAAATTAAAGACTATTAAAATTTTAAAAATAGGTTTCACCACCACCACTACCAAGAAATAAATAAAATGAAAAAGAAAATTATCTTTGCTAGCGTGAATAACAATGGTTTAATTTACCTCGGAAAAAGAAAACAAGAAATATGATAGTGCATAGAAGAGGTTTAAATTACATCGGAAGAGATAGTTTGATAACAACGGATTAACGATTGTCATGAATGCGTGAATAACACTAAATTATATAAGTTGAGAATTGAAAATAGATAACAACACGTAGATTTATAAATAAAATGCACTCATTCCATAATTACATACAAATCGAGTTTTCACATAATTCATAGAATAATTAAAATCAATCTCTTTTGTGTTACAATAATCCGAATTTATTAGAAAATTAGAAAACTTTAATTAGAATTTATTTTTCGTGGGACGATGATTCAACTCATCACGTATAAATTGTCAGTGATTCCACACACTCACAAAATTTATTTGAATAATACGCACATGAAAAAATAGATTTTGTAATTTATATAACACTTTGATTGTCATAGTACATAGGAGTTGTACTGGATTGATGCTCACCAAGTTCATCGAGTAATCTTCGAAACCATATAACCTTAGTTGCAATATCAACCATTGTTCGATGTTCTACCTCTGTTGACGATTTAGCCACTGCTATTGTTTCGCGCGGGTTAGTCGCTAATAATTAAAAAGGGATCAGACGATTGTATAAAGGACAAATTTCTTGAGACAAAGTCCCAAAAAGAGGTGTTTTTATTGACGATAACTTTACAATTGGAAAAATAAAGCAGAATGCCTCCAAGGGGCGCAAGCACACGAGTTACTGAAAAGAAGTGTTTAAATCTAAACTAAGAAATTTAGAGTTACATATTCTCTGTTTGAGAGTGTCTGATTCGGGGTCTTTTGCTCCATATCTTTTCTTCCTTTTATACTCCCTTGACGATCTCTTTGTGATCAACCGCTTAAAAATTGCTTGATCACTCTATAACTGTCAACTTTCTTCATAGTGGCCAACTTGTCATGGAATTGTCTTCTCTAACTGCTGCTATTACTTTTTGTCGTTCAATCATCTTCAATTGAATTTTTTGAATCGTGGAACGTGATAGGGCTACTCAATAACTGCTTCATTAATCGCACCTTTGGGTAACCATAACATCTTATGTTTGCTAAGATCCTGGGCGACTCGAAGGTTTGGGTGAGAACAGGGTCACAGATCTGGGCGACTGCATGACAATCCATTCGCTCAAATCTTGGGCTACTTGTTACCTTGGACGATGGTATTACCACGTTCATGGGCTTCCATATTTGGGCCTTTATCCTGCGTTGCCTGATTGAACCGTTCTTTGGGCTATCTGATTTGGGGATTCTCCAATTGGACTTCATTCCTTGGGCTATGCAATTTGGGCTGAACTTTTGTGTGTCAACAGCTATTTATTTTTTTTATTATTTTACCCCAAAAAAATAGAAAAACCAGTTGTAGATTTCACCTCATAAGGTTAAATTTCTCTAGAAACACCAAATCGAATTTGATTAATTAATTAAATACTTATAAAGATAGCACCTATCCAAAACCTTGATAGAACACGTTATATTTTGTTCACTAATTACAATGGAAGGGAAAATTGTACATAAATATTAATTGGAAAAAAGAAAAACCCGATATGACATCAAAATAAGATAAAATTGGGTAGAAGGGCAAATTTTGCTTGATCGTGCGCATAGCGTGGGTTCATAACTAAACAATTAGATTGATTTCCAATTTTGATTTCTTGGTGACTTTTCATGAAAATCCTGGACTTTTTATGAGTAGTTAACATTTGATCTCTGAATGAAAAACTTGTATTATCCTGAAATAAAAAAATTTGTTAGAAAATACTATTCTTGCGAAGAAAATATCAAAATTATGTATTGTTGATACTATTAATAAAAATGAAGTTGATTTCGCTTACTTGATTGATTCTTTCACATTATGGCGTGTTAGATTAGGTGTTAGTACTGTGAAAAGAATGTTAATGTGTGATATGATCTCTTACAATATAAATGATTCATATAAATGTAAAACATTGTTGATTTTAAAATAATAAAGAAGCCTTATCGTAGTGTGGATACGACTTCACAAGTTTTAGAACTTGTTCATTTGGATATGAAAGTTATGCAGTTCGACCCAACTAACACTTAGAGGGGGTGAATAGGTGTTTACGCGGAATATAAAAAATTAATTAATAATTGCAACAAATCACAGTTATTAATTAGTTCAGATGAATTCACATGCAATCTACCCTATGTTGAATTGTCGCAGTATAATAAATTGCTGAAAAATAAATAACATAAGATATTTGATGATAGAGAAAATCTCTCGTGGAATTAGAAACACCACATCCAAGTCAGTATGAATCCACTATAAACAAATCAACTTACAGTAATGTCAGACTTGAGCAACACAAGTACTTTCTGACCTCTTAACTTTAATTCCCAAAGCTCTCCTGGATTGCGTGCTCCTACACCAACTCCCGACTTTTTGATTTCGTCTATCTCTTGTGGATTCTTGAGAACTCCTTGTTCTCCAACAACAGGGACTCCATTCACCTTCCTTGATCTTCAACATTTGAGAGATACTTAGAAAGTATGGTTTTTTTGGTGTTTTATTTATGGGTTTTGATGTTTTTCAATTACAAGTCTCAAAGATCAATGGATTGAATGATATAGGAATAATGTATGTGTTTCTTGCAATGATCAATCCAAAGTTTTTTGTGAAATTGCGCAAGTACTTATATAAAGGACGTTTTGGATAGTATGGTCCTATTAAAATTCTCGAAAATCACAAATTAGAGTTTTTTAGTATACACTTTCGCTCGAGTAACAGCTCAACGAAAAGCAAGCGATGGTATTTTGCTCGAGCGACGTCCATTTTATTTTTGTCGCTCGAGCAATGTGTTGGCTAGAGGCAAGCAAAATTGCAACGATTCTTCTTTCCTTATTCCGAGCTTGAACCCTAGCCTATCTAACACAACTATACAAAATTGCTTCTAACTCCTCGACTCTTACAAATTTTCAATTTGGTCATTTTTGTTCACAAAATTGCCAATTATATTAAAACCTAATAGGATATATGTAAATTGAATGGTATGTTGACTAGTGGTGAAAATAGGTAGTTTATTACCTTAATTGATGATCATTCAAGAAATTATTTTCTCTCCTATTATTACAACAAATTGATATCGAAATTATTAGGTATTTGCTTTGTTGTCTACAAAAAACTGGAGATTTGTTGTTTAAAGACATGATTTTATATGGTCGTGATCTCCTAATATTGAAGAAGTCTATGATACTCTATTTTTTTGAGAAGAAGATGAAACAAATTGTTCAATTTCATAGATACTGACTTGTCCTTAATGTTGATTGTGCAAGGGGCAAACTGAGGTCTAACTTCAAAATTTATTGTGCAAACTCAAGGCACTTAATTAAGGATTGGTATAAGTTGCAGAATAAAGAAAAATTGCCCATAGCTAATCAGAATAGAAAGCAATTAGATACTTCAAGTGAAGCCAGTATTGGAGAAATGTTTCAGAATGATGGAGATCTTTTAGTGGCTTCTAATGATGATTCCAAATCTAGAGAGGATTATATTCTTGATATGGTTTAGTTTGCACTTTTCATATGTGTCGCAATCGAGATTCATTTACAACATATAAAAAAGTTTTCCAAAGTTGTTGATATAACCTATAATAATATACCTTGTCAAATAACTGGTATAAGAAGGGTCAGAATTAAGTTGAATGATGGAAGTGTCAAAACACTTGAAGCAGTGCGGCTTTTTTTTATCTGAAGAATAAAATTATCTTCTTAAATACTTATGACTTAAAAGGGTACAAATTCATTGGTGAAAGTGGACTCCTAGAGGTTTATAGGGGTGCTTATATTGTATAATAGGGATGGGAAAAGTCCCAATTTTATGCCTTGGCAGGTTTTACAGAATCTTTGATGGATTAGCATAGTTTAAGTACTTGGTGGATTGTGAGTTTGGTTCGATGCCAATGGAGTTTAGTTTGGTGTCTAGTTTGATGAATACATTTATGTCAAGTTCGGAAGTTATGGATAAATTCATTTTGCCATCATTACCAGTGGAGC